AAAATTAAAATTCTGTCATTAATTACTCATGACAGTGTTGTGGATGCACTCATGTTGTAAATGAGATCATTCCTACATGAAGGTAGCTTATGCAATTTGTACCAGAGTTTTGATGACAAATTGGTCAGTAATCAGCACAAAGAAGTGCCCACAAGTAACACCGATGAGTTATGAGTGTCTCTGATATTGATAGTGGACCGTCCGTTAGCAGTCCAGCGCTCTCCTGTCACTCATTCCCACTCCCTGTCGCAGCTAATTGATTTCATTAATCAGTGCTAATCAGGAACACACTCCGTAACCACTAGGAATCAAGTGGGCAGCACAGGTGGAGGGACTCTCGCGGCAGGTTGTTGAGTTGTTAATTGTCAGAAGTCCTTTAATTAACATTCGCAGACTGGACACAGTAGGACGGACCTGCCAGTTGATGGCAAGGGTCTGGCATACGGGGACAAGCTCAAACGATTGCGGTACCCATAACTGGTCTGCCAAACAGCATTTACCAACGAGATCTGTGCTGCCTGCTGTTGACAGGTTTTAAAGCTAAACCTGTGCTTAAATAGCCGTTAAGCTATACCCTGCATGCCAAATATGTGTCAAGCCACGCTGTTTTAATCCCTTTCCCTCTTCTCTTAAATAAACTCCCAGCAGGATGTGCGTTTTATCAGTTCCCTCACAATTCCAACAATGGCATTATTACACTCGGCACTTCAAGCTCTCTGTGTGTGGCATGAAAAGCTTACAGGCCCATTACACGCAACTGAAGACTTAAGAAATGGCCGCTTCAGAACCTGCAGAACGGCGAATTAAACCCCAGGTGCCACCGAGCCAAACTGTAACTGTAGTCCCTGAAAAGTAACCGCTGAATAATTAATAATACAAATGCCTTTGCCAAAAGGTGGTAGGTTTACAATAGGTGGGGCATGTGTTATTTCCACCCAAGCCACGTCTTAAAGGCAGAGTAAGCGATTTCTGGTAGCCAATGTTGATATTTGAAATCACCAAAACAAACATGCCCCTATCCCAAAAGGGTCTTGCCCCTATTTTGATAGCTCCGCCCCACATATACGTACACAACCCAGGCAACGATTAGTTCTGTGAAACAAAGCAAAACCAATGTTACACCATGTCTACGGACGTGAG